AATGTGGAAATTCTCCGGCGGCCTAAAACTTCAACTGTAAATAATCGTAAGCTAACCAAGGGTATGATTAGTTCTGCAAGGGCAGCATCAATGCAAACGGTGAATGTGGACGATTTTGGAGCGAAAGCTGATGGTCGAACCGATGATTCTCAGGTACTATACATCAGCAAAGATGTCGAATAGTCTGTGCATATACGCGTCTTTTCTAACAGTATGTTATATTATAGGTTCGTGTTAGTAAATATTTATTCAAATTTTTAACGAAACCAAAAAAATTTAAAATTGTGACCAGACGAACTAGCTCACTTGGTCTATGTTTTAGAATATTTGTTGATTCAATTCACTTTACATCTTGCTCGAATTTTTGAATCTTGATTTTTATTTTTTGTAGTTTCAAGCATTATTAGATAAGTTATTGTTGTGGGTTCTTAAATATCAATATTATAATTAAGTTTTTTTAAATATTGATTGTTACTTCCACAGGCATTCAAGAAAGCTTGGAGCAAGGCCTGTAGTTCTTCCCAACAAAGCCTTATTCTAATTCCCAACAAGACTTATTATATCAATCCCATCAACTTTACAGGTCCATGTAAATCTGCTCTTAAAATGGAGGTTAGTTATATACACACACATTACTTGCATATACTGATATACACTATATATTTATAATTTCTCAGCAGAATAAACATTAAAAGTGGAAATGTTATGTGCCTATGGCTGTTATTGACTTGTAAATTCACAGATTCGAGGAACAATTGAAGCTTTTCCAAACATGTCATTGTATGAGAAAAGTCGAAGACGATGGATATTCTTTGAGAAAGTAAGAAACTTTGAAGTTTATGGTGGTGGAACCATAAATGGCAATGGTCAAGTATGGTGGAATATTTCTTGCAAAGTAAAAAAAAGCAAGGTATGTGTTGTTATTGACAAAATCAAACGAGTCCCATCATTTTGTAGTGAGATGTTGGTCGAAGAATTAATTTGATTCCTCTCCAAGAACTTAATAAAAAGGATTTTAGAAGTACGTGTTTT